AAAAAAAAAAAAAAAAAAACATCCTGAGTGGGGCACATCGTCCTCCTTCCCTTATGCCTCCCTTTAGCGTAGTTTTGCCCTTTCTCCTTCCTCCTACTTTCCCGGCCTGAAGAGTTTCAAAAGGTCCCCTGGTGCAAACGGGATACCGTCCCTGGCGCCTCGTAGAGCGATGGCCATGGCCTCCCTCCACAGCGCCGCCGCCGCAAAGCAGCCCGCAGCCGCAGAGCGGCCGTAGCTGTCCAGGTCTTCCCCTGCTCTCCGAGAGCCCGAGAGCGGGGCGGAAGAATCCAAGGTTTTCTTTCTATAGTCAATACATATTAGTAACTAGCAGGTAGAGAACAACACATAACTGCTGCCTGGTGGTAAAAATCTGAAGTTGCAGAGCTTACCAGGCTTTGGGGTATTTGGGACCTTTCTGCGCCTGTTTCGAGGAGCGCCAGGCCCTCGCGCCACTGTGCTGCCTCGGCGAAGGCGGCCAGGAGGCTGTTCCGGGCGACCTCTCGAGGAGCCAAAAACCGGAGACTGCGCACTTCGGAACGCATCCGAAATCCCCGGCCTGGTCGGGGATGGCCCGCAGGCCCGGCAAAGCGAGCCAGAGGACCTGGAAAAAAAGGGGGGGGTCTTCTCGGGCGAATAAAAACTACCATAGCCGGGATGCAGGCCTCGGCCGAAGCGGTCCGAGGTTGCTTCTTATTTCCTCTCCTGGAACCTCTTTCCCAACCCCCCTTGCCACCTCCCCAAAAAACACCATCTTTATCGCCCGCCCCCGGGTGCACCGACAGGGCCGAAGCAGACGCGAAGCGTTTACAAGATGCTGCCCGTCTGTGGCAACTGCAAAGCATGGGAAGCATGAGTTCCGCACACTCATTTCTCCCGCACGCATCCGTTGCACCTACACATCCTGCAATCTGTTCAACGTTGTGCGCAGCCCGGTACTCAAATGGGAATGCACGAGTCATGTGACGCACCGGAACATGAAAGAAGCCCAGCCCAGCTGCCAAAGAAAGGCCACCAGGCGGCCAGCGCTCGCTGCCACTCTGCAGCACGCGCGAGGGCATCCAGCGCTGCACCTCCACCTACCTGCGACTGTGGATTGAGGAAGAGGATTTTGGAATGACAGCCAGGCTTCACGGCTCAGCATGCTAAGCATTGAGCAGGAAGTGTTGCTCTACATCTTCACTATTGCCAGGTGTAAACCACTTCGGCCACGATATGTCCTGCAAGATGCCATGCAGTCTCCCTGCATGTGAGAGCCGGCTTGCACAGATCCAAGTCCACAAAAAACAAAGCTGGCGGGATGGAAAAACCATTGCAGACAAAAGATTGGAGCGCCTAGCAGCGCCTCGCAACCGAAGAGAAAAGGTAAGGCTTCTCGGCCCGTCCGAGCTCAATCCCAGCCTTGTCCACACCGGAAGCCAGCAGACAGAGTGCCACGTGCCAGGCAGCCCCCCTGAAGTATGCAGGTCTTGGTCGGCTGGCGTTCGGATGTCTGGGCTTCTAGGCTCAAAGCGTCGCAAACCAAGGCTTCAAGTTCAAAACTGAGCATTTACTTGCATCTAGCCACCGGGCGCAGGCGGCAATCGACCTGAGCTGCATGCTTCCCTTCACGTCTTGATCTTGATCAATCCCCAGCCCGGCCCAGCCCCAACTGAAGCTTAGGAGCGTATTGCAGCTGATGGCATTGGGTCGAATCCTCTCGGAGGGCATCTCCTGCACGAACCCATGAATCCGATCGCTAAGCAAATCTACGCAACACAGGTGTGTCTTATCCGCCGCACTTCCCAGCCCAAAGCCTAGGAACCTGGTCTCAACCCGGAATCGGCTCCCAGAAGATGTGGAGGCCAGCTTGCCACTGGGCACCCTTCCGCAAAAAGGCTCTTCGGCTTCGCTTAGGTTGCTTGAAACTGTGCTGAAATCGCACGTTAGGTTTTAGGTTTTAACACACAACCGTTCGGATACTCGGATACTCAGGACTCATTCCAGTAGTTTTGTTTTCGGGCCTGCCGGCAGGCCGCAAGGGCAGCGTTGAAGCAAATGGCATCGAGCCTGCCAAGACCAAGCCTTTACTGTCAAAGGCTAACAGCAATTCCCTCCGGAAACGCTGACGACAGCTTCCCACTCGGCACAACCACTTATCGACCTGCACACTACCCGGCACAGCTTGCAGCAGTCTCCCATCCCTTGCAAGCCTGAGCTGGCTTCCTCGCACCGCGCGGAACAAATCTAGGGCCAGTGCCCAGCGCCATCCGCGTTGGTGAGCCACCTCAGAAGCTTTTCGGAATCGCCAATGGCACGCATGCTTTAGGATTTCTGTTCATGGTCGGAGGTTGATAGTCTGGAAGACATAAAGTTGCAGATCCGCCACGATCAACCGGGTTCTGCTCAGCAAGCTCACCTGAAGCTTTTGACCGGCAAGCCGGGATACGCAGTCTGAGTCTACGTGTGAAATGTACAACAACCCACGAAACCTCGACTGCTGCACCGTGAACATGGCGCACCAGTCCCGGTGGAATACGACATGGCATTGTGGTCCATGTTGGTCAGACGGTGCTCTGAAATGTCAACGTTCGGATATCACTAGGAGCACGGATATAACACATTATTCAGCACTGGAATCTAAAGACATGGTTCCCAATGTTAGCCGAAAGCTCGACCAGCGCGCGGTTGTGAAAGAAGCCCGCCATCAATGTTCTTGTCAACACCATTGCCCTAACAAGTCACACTACAAGAAACCACGTAGCGAGGCCGAACGTAAGCTGGATTTTACTCTTGCGAGATTCTCTGGCAGCATTCGTCGTTGATGTATTTTCTTAAGGATGCGGTTACACACAGATTCAAAAATGGCCGATGTGAGAGCAAACTGATTCTGGCAGCTGTACTGGTACTCCTTTTCACGCGAAGGTGTCGGCAACTGCGACTCCACGTCGTTGGAGCCTAGAGAAACTCGCGCAGGTGTCGCACCTTATATTTGACGCTTGAGAGTTGGAGTTGACAAAGTTACGTACAACTATTGAGGCTAGTTGTATTGTACTGGCTAAGCGTGCCGGATTTTGGGCTCGAATTCAATTCCAACCTTAACTCTGGAAGCAAGGACAAAGTTGACGTTGGCCTAAACCCGGTTGCAGGGGGGATTCGGGTTGGAGGCAACTCCAACCCTGGCTCTGGAACCAGAGACAGTTGGGGCAAACCCCAACCCAGTGGGCTGGTTCCCTGGACCTGCTTGGAGGAGTCTTCAAGGGCTTGAAGAGGTTCAAGGGCGAAAGAGGAGGAGGGGGGGCTCTGAAAGGAGAAAGCTTTCGAAGCCCTTTAAGAAGGGCTTCAGAGGGTTCGAGGATAGGGTGGTGAGTCGCGTTGTTGCCCAAAAGGGTTCTGCCTAGCTCCATTTGCGACAAGTCCACATTGCGATAGCGAAGGACATTGACAATGGTGTACGCCAACAAGAAGGCACACGAAATCAGTCCGAATTTCATCGGAAGCTCTTGTGACTGTCACAAGGCCGTGGGCCGCGGGATCGATCTACCTTGATGTGCTTTTGGGGCAAAAACCCTTGCGCCATAGCCATTCAAACCCCTAATCCACCAAACATTAAACACAAACCATAATGACCTCAAGTACGGTGGGCCTTGAGGTAGTCTGATAGTAGACATGCTTGCGACGGTGGCGATGATATGGAACAGTGCGCAGAAACATCTTCCAAAGCCCATTTTATGAACCCGCGCTGAAGCCGAGGTGTGTGACGGGAAGGGCATGCACTCGGAACTGTCGTGGGCAGCCGAGCAAACCCGGGAGAGAAACGCGGCCTCCGGCCGACTAAGACTACTCAAACTGACCTGGAACACAATTAATGCTGTGGTAGCTGGAAACTCAGGTACTGGAACGCATCCAGACATCCAGATATCTGGATCTGAAAGTACCTTCAGCAGCATAAAGCAGACTGACGCTGTTACTGTACAAAGTCAGACTGCAACAAAATTCACAGTCCGGAAGGGCTCTCCAAAGCTCCGGAAAACGCAAAGAAGCACATCGGCAACTGAGCCACTCGTCGCTCTTGTTTAAATTTCCTTGGTTTGAGGGCTCAGATCGCCGGCGGATGCGAGCGTCTCAGATATCTTGTCCTGCCGCGCAAAGCAGCTTGCAATGTCACAGCAAGCTTTGCCCATTTGTGTGGTCCACACATCTACGAATCCCGTGGCGTACAGGAAGGCGAAAGAACCGCCCAACTGCACCGACATCTTGGTGATCAGCGTGAGTTCCCACAGAGAGCGGAGGTGAGTAAAGACGGTAATCCATGTTCCAACCACGGCGACTGCAGTAAGCAACTGCATATTGATCTGATGAGCACGCACATAATCCATCTGCTTCCACGAGCCTCCGGCACACAAGCGGCCAGTGAACAGCAGCAAATTGGTGGCATCGAAGGTGATGGCCCAAAATGGCCGGATCAAGTACTCGATGCTCTGTTCCCAACGCGCGCTGTAGGCCTCCAACGCCATGATATTGCCAACCAAGTGGCGAGCCATCACTCCAAAGCCATAGAGCAAACCAAGGACATGCACCACGATCATCAGCGATGTGTACTTTCGCCACGACGGCTTGATGCAGAGCATGGCGTTGAGCACCGCGAAGACATTGAACAGCCCGAACCAAGGCATCAGAATCACGTACTCCTCCATGTTGAGGTCCTGATGGCCTTTCGACGTTGGCTGCGTCCAAATCCTGCAGAACATCACTATGAATCCCGACAGCACCTCCAATGGGAAAATGTCGGCAAAGCACACCAAGCCCACGCTTTTGTGGGCCTCCTTGTTTTGGAATGGGGATCTCACGAATTGGTGTACCAACAACAGAGTCATTACCACGGACACCACGTCGTGGATCACGATCATTGGCACGAGGATAGGGTGGTGAGTCGCGTTGTTGCCCAAAAGGGTTCTGCCTAGCTCCATTTGCGACAAGTCCACATTGCGATAGCGAAGGACATTGACAATGGTGTACGCCAACAAGAAGGCACACGAAATTAGTCCGAATTTCATCGGAAGCTCTTGTGACTGTCACAAGGCCGTGGGCCGCGGGATCGATCTACCTTGATGTGCTTTTGGGCAAAAACCCTTGCGCCATAGCCATTCGAACCCCTAATCCACCAAACATTAAACACAAACCATAATGACCTCAAGTACGGTGGGCCTTGAGGTAGTCTGATAGTAGACATGCTTGCGACGGTGGCGATGATATTGAACAGTGTGCAGAAACATCTTCCAAAGCCCATTTTATGACCCCGCGCTGAAGCCGAGGCGTGTGACGGGAAGGGCATGCACTCGGCGCTGTCGTGTGCAGCCGAGCAAACCCAGGAGCAAAACGCGACTGCCTGTCGACTAAACTTCTAGGAGCACTGCAAGCTGGCGAGAAGACTTCGGTGGATCCCGAGTATGGGGCTGGGGCGTTTAGAGTTTAATGCAAAGGGTGTAGGGTTTACGGGTTCGGGGTTCAGGGTTCAATTTGTTACAGGACTGGGCTTAGGGTAGCAATCTAGACTAGACAGCTGCGTGGGCACACTCACTTTCTTGTTGCTTCTGCATGTCCATCCTCTAAAAAGATCACTAGAAACACTCTCTGCATTCTGAAAAACGAATGTTAACCTACTAAAGAACGAAGTTGAGCAAACCTCATACCCACGACAGGAGAGCTTCTTCAAATAACTCGGGCCCTGATGCCCAAGACTTACGCCATCTTCAGAACACGGACTCTCAAATGCTACATACTTCCCCAGAATCTAAAACCACCGAAGTCTCCTGACAACTGTGACCCGCCTCTACGGGTGCGGCCACTGCAGCAGGCTCGGCCCCTGTCTTCAAAGGATATGTTTTCCAATCCATATAACCAACGGAAGATGTCTCGGAACCTATGGCGAGATCCATCCAAGATGGCGCCAACCACGTGAAGGGCCCAGCACGGGCCTCCGCACTCCCACTCCGACTCCCTGATTTAAGCTGTCGACAGAACCGCTTGGCGCCCCCAATTCGGGGCATCGACAGTTTAAAGTCGAAACATTCTGAGTCATCCTGCACACAAGACCTGCTACGTCAACTTCCTGAAGCAATCAGGGCCCAAGCCACAAACAAATCCAACTAGAGGGGATTCTCAGCGCTTCTTTGGGTTGGGTAGGGTACTGTAGATCGCAGTCGCCCTTGCCGTCTGAGGCACAGAGCTGCCGTAGTGCAGCAAGCGTTGCAAGATGAAGCCTAAATTGGGTTCATTTGTTCTTTGGGTTCTCGTAACCCGGACTGGCCAGATGAGGACTTGCCAGAGGTTCCAAAATTGGGTTTCGGGTTTGCCAATGCTTCGAAGAAGTGACAGGCTGCAGGATGTAGGTCGGCTGTTCTTTACCGAGTTCAATTTACACCTCTTTTAATTTTTTGCCCTTTCGATAGGAGCTACAGAAGGGAGTGCTGGCCTGTCCGGCCACAAAAATACCTTTCAAACTAGGCTTAAAGGCGACTACATTTTTCCAGACTTTTTCCAACGAGTCATGTTGAAGGTTCAGCTGGAAACAGCTGAAGGGCAATGATGTTGAGGACGGTTATGATAATGTTGGGAAATAAATTAAATAGAAGTAGAAACCTTGCAAACAAATCAAATGAGCTGGAGTTTCGAAGCGGACAGGGGATTGAAAGGCTTTACCACACGTAAAAAGGAGCAAGCTTTGTCATCGGCGATCTTTCCCGCAGTACCAGCAAATCTTGCTGCGCCCTTTGACTATGATGATGATGATGGAGACCAGCTCAGCTGAATCTGGATGTTGAAGGCGAGGACGTCAAGGACAAGAACGAAGAAGAAGCCAGTGAAGGAGACTTTTCGCTCAACTCGTACACATGGAGCACTGCAAGCTTGGTTCTAGAGAGATCATCCCTTCATGCAGCACTGGAGTCGACCAATTCAGGATCGAACTTCTGGATCTCCGTCCCAAGATCTCCAGCAGGTTCCAGGGAGCTTGTATCGGAGCCATGTGGACCATCCAGATTGATGTCATTGCACGGAGCTTCGCTTTCTCTGCATCCCACCACCGCTTCTGCCGCGTAGGACCCCGCCCCGTAGCTTGATCTCCGACACCCATCAGAAAGGAGCCAAACAACATCTCGTGCCATGGCAACTTGGAATCATAAGTGGCTTGGGAGGTGCATCCATATCAACGACACTCTCTCTATGGAGGGATGTCCCAAACCCAACCATAAGCAGTCTCTGGACCTTGTTCT